CACCGCCGCAAGGCCGCAGTCGCCACCGCCACTCTTCTGGCGGCGGCGACACCGTAACCGACGTTTTGTTCCCCGGAAAAAATTTCCCGGAAATCAGTTCCCGAAAAAAATCTCTCCGAAAAAAATCTTTCCATAAAAAAATCTCCCCCGGAAAATATCTCCCCCGAAAAAAATCTTTCCCGGAAAATATCTCCCCCGAAAAAAATTTCCGTGCCCAGCAAAAACCGAGGTGCCACATGGGTTTACAACTTTCCACGTGTGAAAAGCCCACGCACGTACTTTGCAAGGCACACTATGTGTATAGTTTAATGATAGTAGAGCCTCCCGCAGGGGGGCGGAACCTACTGCCTCCACGCATACACTGTCCACGCGAAACGAGGTTCACGCACACTCCCCGTGCTTTCGGGGGAGGTGCGGTAGTCCCGAAATAATTCACGCATACACTTTCCACGGCCACTAACGACGATGAAGCTTCCTTGCTGGTCACCGCTTTCTTTCGTAATTTTGCAACAACGCGCTTTGTCTTAACTGCTGCAGCGTTAGGAGTGTGAGTTGTGTGCTCAGTTGTGTGAAATACAGTAGTACTGAAATTTTGGATGGGGAGATTTTTTCCGGGGGAGATTTTTTCCGGGGGAGATTTCTTCCGGGGGAGATTTTTTCCGGGAGAGATTTTTTCCGGGGGAGATTTCTTCCGGGGGAGATTTTTTTCGGGGGAGATTTTTTCCGGGGAGATTTTCCCGGGAACTTATTTCCGAGGAAATTTCTTCCTAGAACCCGGCGACACTCTTGGCGGTCGCCTCGGCGTCCACTCCTCTTCCCTGTCGGTCGGAAGGAGGCGTACTTCCCCCTTCCTGATCCTCTCGCTCGCCTCCTTCTGCGACATTACACTGCCGCAGAAGGCCAGGAATGCCCGCCACCTCGTTTCGTTCCCAACCATAGTTGCCATTATGGCCGGGAGGGAGAGGTCGTTTCCGACCTCCCCCTGTAGGACATGGCGTTGTCCAGCCCACGCTGGACATATCTTCAGCGTGTGCTGCGCCGTGTCCTCCGCCGCATCGCACTGGTGGCATTCGGTGGTTGCCTCCTTCCCGATTCGACACAGGTACCAACCGAAACACCCGTGCCCAATTGCAACCACCCCTGGAAAATAAAATAAATGTTAAAAAATGTTAAAAATGTTACAATAATAATATTAAAAATATTAAATATGTCACGCATACTTGATTGCGTGGGATCCGCATATATATCATGTTATATAATTGAACATTTTGAACGGGAAAATTATCAACCCACAGCATCTGTAATGTAGAAAACACACAGTTAATTTAAAAAACTAAATTAAAATTCACTCGCGAATCACCATACTTACCCCATCGGGGGGATACGTAATTTCGATTATGTCTTGCGCGCGAACTATTTTAATAATAACTTCTTTCGGCCAGTTGTCCGAACACGCGTTTGCAACCGTTCGCAGACTTGATGAGACTGAATTTAACGACGGTTGCAGAACGAAGCGGGGTAAAATGTCGCCAGAGAAAAAAAATATGGTAACAGTTTAACAACAGACAGCTCCTTCCAACAAAAAGAAATTAAGATGAAATATGTCTCGCACTACAATAGCGGGTAAAAGTTCGACGGAGCATCGGCACATGTGAACGCGTTCTCTGTCGCTCGCGTCTCTTCGTTCGCGTCCTCTTGCTCGCGCCCCTTTGCTCGCGTTTCTTCGTTCGCGTTCTCTCTCGCTCTCATTCCACTTCGCGTTTCTTGCCTTTATAATAAATAATTGGGAGAAGGAAAGATAATTTTAGATACAGTGATATGCATTTTAATATACATTTATTTCTCATGTAATACATCGTGTATAATATTATCTGCACCATACGCCAATAGTTCACAATCAATAATTGAATTCTTATCATAAAATTCACACAAGATTCTAACTGCAACACATTTATTGGTTATACAATTTTGACGTAAAATGGTTACAAATTGTTTAAATTTTTCACTTACGCCATGAACATTTTGGCATAGTTGAAAATACACATTCTAGATGCAATGTTCTAGTTCAAACAAGAAGAGTACGGTTGACGGTTTCATGTACAAGCTGGTGACGCACGTTGTTAATTTTACAATATCTGCGTCACGTATTTTAACGAGTTCCAGATCTCGAAGCGCTAGCGATGATGGCCCTGGTGACTGCACGAGTCGCTGAATATCTGCACGTCTTTCGATGAACGTCACCCACGTTGCATGAGGCAGAATTATCCGATTGCCTCGGTTATCGCCAATATGTATATCCACAGAGGACATAGGTCCCACGTTTATCCCAATCTATATATATAAAACAAAGTCGGGTTAGTTACACCATTTATAACTCAAGAACGGCTGGGCAGATTTTAATGATCTCTGATTTGTTGGATTTGTCTCCGCCCCGAATAGCAAAATAACTAATAAAAAATTAAAATATCGGAAAAATTTACTTAAAAAAAAAAAAATAATAATCTAGAAAGATATCCAAATACATAGGAAAATACTCGAATCAAAATGTAAACAAAAATATAGAGATGTATGAGATGTATAGAGAGATGTATATAAACACAGAATGTATGAGAAATTTTCGGAACATTCCATTGCCGCTGCCTGTCAGTATATAAGCTGTAAATCGCGAAAGGTTACCGGTCGATTTGTTTGTTTTGTGCGAGTGTTATTAATAAAAATGCCGCGACCCAGAAGATCTAATCTTTCCCAAAAAAGCCGTAATGCAATTAGGTTTCGTAACATTGCGAATCAATCCACTGAAGAAAAACGAGAAATCGCACGAGAAGAGCGCCGCGTTAGTATGGCCCGACTTCGTGCTTCTAAAACACAAGAGCAAAAAGAGGCAGCCCGTGAAACGGCTCGGTTGGCAATGAGAAATCGTCGAGCTTATCGCACAGATCAACAACGAGATAATCTTCGACGCGCAAGAAGAAATGCTTCAAGTGTTGATTTGAATCGAGCAGCGTTTCTATACGATTGCACAATTGATTACAGCTCGCATCCTTTCGTTCGCATTGGTCCAGTGGACGTTGTTTGTGGGCATTGTGGCGCATTGAAGTTTGCTGGAGAAACGCCTGGATTGTGTTGCCTTAATGGCAAAGTAAAATTGCCATTATTGACTCCGCCACCTGAGCCATTGCATTCATTGCTTCGTGGCGAAACACCAGAATCACGACATTTTTTAGCGAACACTCAAAAATACAATGGCTGTTTTCAAATGACTTCATTTGGGGCAGACATTATCGTAGAACATGGATTTAATCCGACATTCAAGGTAATTTATGTTGAAGAGAGTAAATGTTCATTTTTTTTAAAAGATAAGATTTAAGACAAAAAAATTTGCTCAAATGTTGTTTGTTAGGTCTCTGTATTTGTCTCTAAAATAAATAAGGCATGCTAACATTTAAAAAAATTTGTGATTATAAATCAGTAATACTGACTTCGCTTTCGACTTTACAGATTCAAGGCCAGATTCACCATCGAATTGGATCATTGCAACCTGTTGAAGATGCACAGCATAAATTCTTACAAATATACTTCATGGGCAATATGGAGGAACAACTTGATCGGCGTCAAGAGATCAACACAGAAATGAAAAGAGTAATTCTTCATGATCTGCAGCAACTACTTCATGAACATCATGCATTGGTCAGGCTGTTCAAAACTGCGTTGGAGCGCATGCCAAATGATGACTACAAAGTCGTGATCAGAGCGGATAAACGACCAGCTGGAACACACGAACGCAGATTTAACGTTCCAACAATAGATGAAGTTGCAATCCTGATTGTTAGTGAAAACTTGGAAACACGCGATATTGTGCTTACACGTCGCGATACTGGGCAACTGCAACAAATATATGAAACACACCGTTCATATGACACGTTGCAATACCCGCTGATGTTTTGGCAAGGAGACGATGGATATCACTTCAATATCAAGATGATAAATCCATTGAATGGTGAGTATTAATATCATAGTTTTCATTTCAACATGACATAAATTTTGCTCGGTTTAGTTTTGGTTTTTGAAAAAAAATAGAACCACTACTAATTTCCCAGGAAGTCGTAAGAGTCGACTAAGGGGGATTAGGGGCTGTTTGTTTGGAGAATATTGGACAAAGAGCTGGCAACCAATCTTAAATCATTTATCTTAACTCTTTTTAAATACGCTAAGTGACCTTCGGGGATTTAGTGATCACACGGTTTTGTTTACTCCTTCATGGAATATACGGACGTAAGTTTTACTTCTAAGATACTAATTTTACTGTTTTTATTTCAGGTGAGGAAACTACCAAGAATGTTAGCTCGATGAATTATTACGCATATCGTTTGATAATTCGTCAAAATGCTGACAACTATTTGCTGCGATTTCGTCGATTGCTTTAGCAATATTGCGTCGACATGTACGTCAAAATCGAAACGGAGCGCCTAACTTTCATTCGGTTGAATCAAGCCAAACTGCGTTCGGAGGAGTATATCCATTTACGCGATGCAATTAGCACCGAAGGAGATGCAGCTAATGTTGGTCGATTGACTATTCTACCGGCGACGTACACAGGTAGCCCGCGTCATATGCATGAATATGCGCAAGATGCAATGACATATGTTCGTCATTACGGTCGGCCAGATCTATTTATTACCTTTACGTGTAATCCGAAATGGATAGAAATTGTTCAAATGCTGCTTCCCGGACAAACATCAAGTGATCGGCACGACATCACCGCACGTGTCTTCAAGCAAAAAATCAGGTCGCTGATGAACTACATTGTTAAGCAACGCGTCTTTGGAGATACTCGATGCTGGATGTATTCAATCGAATGGCAAAAACGAGGCTTGCCGCATGCACACATTCTTATTTGGTTAGTCGAAAGAATTCGACTAGACCAAATAGATGATATCATATGTGCCGAGATTCCTGATCCCGAAACCGATCCAGACCTACATGATGTTGTAATTACGAATATGATTCATGGACCGTGTGGCGCCATCAACCCCCAATCACCGTGCATGGTCGACGGCAAGTGTTCCAAACGTTATCCACGAAAATTGACTGCGGAGACCATCACTGGCAACGATGGTTATCCACTGTATCGGCGTCGATCACCCGATGATAACGGTCGAACTATCACAACGAAAGTGAAAGGAAACGATTTCGTGGTCGACAACAGTTGGATTGTTCCATATTCGCCACTTCTTTCCAAAACATTCAAGACACATTGCAACGTTGAGTATTGCAATTCGGTGAAGTCGATCAAATACATCTGCAAATATGTCACGAAAGGCAGCGATATGGCGGTTTTTGGCATCCAAATCTCCAATACCAACGATGAAATTACGCGTTATCAAGTTGGTCGATATGTGAACTGCAATGAGGCGATTTGGCGTATATTCTCATTCCCTATTCACGAACGTCATCCCACTGTTGTACATTTGGCGGTGCATCTGGAGAATGGTCAACGAGTATATTTCACCGCGTCGAATGTTGCTCAACGTGCTGAAACACCTCCAGCGACAACATTGACCAGTTTCTTTGCGATTTGTCAAAGCGATCCGTTTGCACGAACGTTGCTTTACTCGGAGATGCCACGTTATTACACTTGGAACGCTTCATCAAAAAAATTTCAACGTCGGAAGCAAGGCGATGCGGTTTTTGGTCATTCGGATGTGCGTTCTACTGATGCTCTTGGTCGTATTTACACAGTTCATCCGAAGAATGATGAATGCTTCTATTTGCGGTTGTTGCTGGTGAATGTTCGTGGGCCAACATCATTTGAATCACTACGAACTGTTAATGGTATAGTGTGCCCAACATTTCGTGCTGCATGTCAAGAGCTCAATTTGCTTGAAAACGATACTCATTGGGACACGACAATCGCTGAAGCAATTATTTCTGCATCTCCAAGTCAGATACGCACATTATTTGCTATCATCATTTCGACATGCTTCCCATCGAATCCACGTGACCTGTGGAACAAATACAAGGATAACATGTCAGAAGACATTTTACATCGAATTCGTGTCAGTTCAAGAAATCCAGATCTTGAGGCGAATGAGGAGATGCATAACCAGGCTTTGCTCTTGATCGAAGACATGTGTTACCTCATGTGCGGCAGTTTGTTAGTCAGGTTAGGAATGCCAGCGCCAGATCGTGGAATGAATGACGCATTTAATCGAGAATTGGAGCGTGAACGTGAATATGATCGACATGAATTAGACCAATCAGTTTAAACGAATGTACCCCTGTTGAACCCCCAACAGAAGGAAGTTTATGATACATTAATGAAGGCAATTGATGATGGAAATGGTGGCTTATTTTTCCTGGATGCCCCCGGTGGAACTGGGAAGACATTCCTCATGTCATTGATTTTGGCCACTGTTCGTGCGAGATCCGACATTGCGGTAGCAGTTGCTTCTTCTGGAATAGCGGCCACATTGTTAGAAAGATGCCGTACGGCTCATTCAGCGTTAAAATTGCCGTTAAACCTTCAAACTATTGAACAACCGACATGTAACATTGCGAAACACTCCGCAATGGCCAAAGTTTTAGTAGCGTCTAAAATCATCATCTGGGACAAATGCACAATGGCGCACAAACGCGCATTGGAAGCACTTGACCGAACATTGAAAGATCTGCGCAATGACTCGAGATGTTTTGGAGGCGCAATGATTTTACTGTCTGGCGATTTCCGCCAAACATTGCCAGTCATTCCAAGATCGACTGCTGTCGATGAAATAAACGCTTGCTTCAAATCATCAAATCTGTGGCGCTATGTGAAGAAACTTCAGCTGGCAGCAAACATGAGAGTTGCATTGCTGAACGATCCATCTGCTCAAGATTTCTCCAAACAATTGCTGACTATCGGTAATGGCCGTGTCCTGTCTACGAATCGAGCGGATTGATTTCATTTCCTCTGAATTTTTGCAATTTTGTCTCATCGAAAGACGAGCTCATCAACAAAGTATTCCCGAACATCATTACTAACTACAAAAATAACGAATGGTTGAGTGAGCGAGCAATTTTAGCGGCTAAGAATAAAGATGTGGATGACTTAAACTTTGTAATTCAGAATCAAATCGTTGGTACTCCGCATTCATTCAAATCTATTGACTGTGTAACAAACGAAGACGAAGCCACCAACTATCCAACTGAATTTTTAAACTCCTTGGATGTGCCTGGCTTACCACCGCACAATTTACAATTAAAGGTTGGCTCGGTAGTCATCATGCTTCGAAATCTAAACCAACCAAAACTATGCAATGGAACGCGTTTGGTGATAGAAAACTGATGATCGCAATGTGATTCACGCGACGATACTCAAAGGAAAATTCAAAAGTGAGGAAATTCTCATTCCGAGGATTCCGATGATCCTAACCGATATGCCCTTTGAGTTTAAACGAATTCAATTTCCGATTCGTCTTGCATTCACCATGACGATTAACAAATCACAAGGCCAATCCTTGAGTGTTTGTGGTCTGAATTTAGAAAATGCATGTTTTTCTCATGGTCAATTGTACGTGGCATGTTCACATGTCGGCAAACCGTCCGCTTTATTTGTTATTGCGCCTGATAACAAAACGAAAAATGTCGTATATCACAAGGTGCTTCACTGAAGAGAATCAACCCAAGTGTAACCCATGCAGCAAAATACATAGCTTCATCAAAGCAAATGTCTTGCCGACACGCCATTGGCTGCATCCAGAAGCACGATCGCTCATTGAGCGCTCACAGGTAGCTGCTCAGTGAGCATTTTTGATGTGCTGGATATATGCTCACAACAGTTC